CACAGCAATACTCCGATGTACATACATATGTACATATGTCTGAGTGTATATGTGTGTATAAGTATTTTATAGAAATGTTTATTGTCTATTGCACTCAGCCATGACTGCACGAATTTGCTGGGAACACAACATGAGCAACTTCGCTAAGAAAACCTAAGCAAGTGAAGCAAGGAAATGCCAAGGAAGCAAAAAGGTAAAACAAATCCAATGAATTCACAACAAAGCCAGAGAAGTAACAAAGCACTTACAATCACATACATACCTATGTATATATGTGTATGTACCTACGCACAGGGAACATACAAGTGCAGTCAAACCAATAGCAAGATGTGAAACAGGTAGAACAAAAACAACGATAACAACAGCAAAGCACAACAAATGCTCAAGTTAGAAAATAAATGTAGCCAAAGCAACAAATACAACAGCAATAACAACAACAATTAGTCTTATTCTTAGATTTATTACCAACATTTAAACGCTTCCGCTCACTCCATATGCAGCGAACGTTTGCTGCACACACACACACACACTCATATACACACATGCAGCATTCTAAGCAAAATATCACTACAAATATGGGAACTAACCAAAAAAAAAAGAAAAAATTAAAAAACAAAAGCAAAATATGTTGAGAACAATCCGCTATTGTCGTTGAAATATCTACGGCAAAAGTTTCCATTTTCGTTTTCTATCTCAAATAAATACACGTTCATTTTAAAGGTGATAAAAGTTTTGGTCTCCATTTTCTATACGTTTGTTCACAGGTGCGCTTGTAAATGTCTTCAAAAGCAAGACTAAGATGCACCGCTCTAGAGACGTGTAAGTAAATAACTTTGTATGTAAGGAAGAGTAAAAATTACTGCTCGGCAGAATAAAAGCTGAAAATTTCGTTAGATAAAAGGGTGACATGATAATCAATGAATGCGGTTCACAGAACAACAGCAGTAACACTGACAGCAACAACAATTTTAAATTTAGAAATTATCAGTAGTGGGTAACTTGTGATGAACAGCGAGAAGACAAAGTACAAATAAGTGATGCTTGAGAAAATTACTCGAGCGTAGATAGAAACATTAGAAGAAATTAAAAAGCATGAAAGATAAATTCTCACAAATATATAGACATGGACATTGAGACTTGAATGGGATGTCTGCTTATCAGACTAGGCAGAAATAATTTAAAAATTAACAAAAAATGGAGTAAATAAAATAAAATATTATCAAACAAACGGAAATAAAATAAATCAAATTAAATCTAAATAAAAAAGTTAAATCAAATTAAAATACCATAAATTAACAAAAAAATATAAAATAATAAAATAAATCAAAATAATCTAAATTAAAATTAAATAAAACAAAGACAATAAAATAGAAAAAAAATTAACTAAAATAAAAGTTAAAAATAAGATTAAATAAATAAAGAAAAATAAAATAAAGAATAATATAAAATAAAATGAAATAATTTAAAATAAATAAAATAAAATAATATCGAGAAAAATAAAATCAAATAAAGAAAAATAATATCAAATAAAAAGGAATAAATTAAATTAAAATAAAATAAATTAATTAAAAAAAAAAATTGTAAAACAATATAAAATAAAATAAAATGATATAAAAAGAATAAAATAAAACAAAATTAAATAAACTAATATGAAACAAAAAAAAAAATAAATAAAAAAATTAAATAAAATGAAATGAAATAAAAAAAATAAAGTAAAGTGAAATAAAATAGAATAAAATAAAATAAATATAAAATTAAGGTCATATAAAATAAAATTAAATAAAATAAAAGTAAAAAGTAATGCCTGTGTAATAGATGGCTTTAGTGGTCTGTACATAAATATCTTCTTTTTTCTACATTTTTTCTTCGATACAGGCGAACACGCCAGAAATGACGGCCAGGAAGGTTTAGTAGAGCGTTTCGTGTGATTGGCAAGGAATAATCTATTACTAGCAGTTTCCATGCGGCCATACTCTTAACTCGAAGCTGTACTGTCAGCAATTGGGCTATCTGAAGTAAACAGCTTTGACCAACAGGAGGGGAATTGTCCTGCATCTGGTCAACGCTAGACCAAACGCTTCGATAGTGACTCGCCAGTGACTTCGCTATAGTTCGATTTGGCTGGTGAAAAATTAAGAGAAATCTGTGGAAATCCATTGCACAAAAACCAAGCCCCCAAGAGCACTCTTAGTCATATTTTCCAGTTAGAAAAAGATCGGCATTTTTACATGCCTTGGTATATTTGTATACATACTCGCATATTAGTTCCCCGCTCTTTAACCAATTAATTAAAATATATCTTTTATTTAAAATTAACATTTAAAGGGCGTGCACTGCAGCTAACCCTAATCGAGTTCATTTCTAATTTATTCTTGAATAATCTTTGCTTAATTTAGAATTAATTAGTACTGTCTTTAGTTTATAATTTTGAATGAGTTCGATGAAAATTTGTGGTTTGTTGGTATGGGAGCGGCTTGAGAACGCAAAGACAGTTTGCCTGAGAAGTAAATGGTTTGAAAAGTCACAGCGTACGAAAGTTAGTCTCGCTCAGTTCAGCCGGCAATATGCTTTCATGCTAATTAGTTTTAGTATTGTAGTAAAACCATCTTAATATAATCTGAAATCTTTATTCTAAAATGAATTAAAGAGTCCAAGTAGTTTTTTAGGGTTTATTAGTTATCAGCATTCCGTAACAAATTTCCTAACTCAACATTCAAAAGGAATAAATTTCAAGCACTAGAAATTCGATTAAAAATACTCTAAAAGACATAGTGCGACCCTTTCGACCGCGAGTTCAATTGAGCGACGACAATATCGCTAGAAGTAAATATTAAAAAAAAAAAAACAACAAATTACCAACGTCTGTCTTGGCGCTACAACGAAAAAGTTCATTAAACTGGTTTTCCAGCAGCGTCACGTCAAAGCGCAGCGACGTTGGCAGTGGCAAAGAGCCAAGCATACTTAGCACAACAAGCAAACCGACAGGCAGCCAACCAGCGAGTTAGTCAGACATATCGCCAGCCAGCCAACCAGCTCGCTAGCTAGGCAACAGCAATCACAAGCAATATTTGCATATTTGGCCATTGAAAATGAGCAAGTTGTCTTCTTGCATTGCCGCGTTGGTATCTCATTTTATTATTTCGATTTTGTTTAAATATTTAGCTATTTGACTTTTTGATTTTTGATTGGTATTTCGGTTATTGGCTCATAGTTGTGGAATGTACGTACACATTTACGCTTCGCGTTGGGATTTTATTGAATTTTCGTGGCTTAAACACTTTCCAGTCGGACGAGCTTTCATTAGAATAATTATTCTTTGCGCATTCCTTTTCATTTAACCAATTATAATTTTGCGCAATTCATACACAATAAAAACTCATTTCACTTTTCTCATTCTTCTGCGCATAGAAAACATACGGCAGTATTTATTTCTTCACGGTGTGATTCGCAAAATTAATTTTCTATTAAAAATTTCATTTAATTTAATTCATTCTATTTCTTTCACTTTGTTGTACACCATTCAATGAATCTATTGACTCTTAAATATTGTTTGTGTAAATTATTGTAGTTTCTTTTATAATTTTTTTTTCCACAAATTGATTGACAGTTTTACTTTTCCGATTATTCACCGTAGACGTGTCAGTTTCGTTATGAACGCGAGCAAAGACTGCCAACGGCTTGCTAGTTGGAGTATTTAAGCCATCGCCATTGGTTTGAGTCTAGCTCAGAGCAGCACAAAAGTGAGATCACTTGTTCTCTCTAGCGCATAATAAATAAACAGGTAATGAGTGAGGTACGCGCTCATCGCTATGGTAAATATTGTGTTGTGTTCTATTTTTTTTTGGACAAAAACACCTGAGATACAACCAAATATGAGATGGACTAGTGAGTGTCTGTAGCGGATATTCATTATGAGCTCGCCAAACATTGTCAGAAAATACCAAGATGTTTGCAAAGATTTTCTTACGCTCAATAAAATAAAATAGTTGGATCAAATATCTCAAAGAGCTCTTGTTTTGTAGTCTGGTGGGAGTGTGATAAAATCGAATAATTGTATACAATAATAAAGCTAGACATATATTCATAACAAACAACTAAAAAGAAAAAACTCAAAAAGGGAAAAAATAAAATTAAAACAAAGCAAAATTAAATTAAAAAATATATAATAAAAAATTAAAAAATAATAAAAGTTAAGAAAAAAAACTAAACCAAAATAAAAAAAAATTAAAAAAATTGAAATAAAATAAATAAAATAAAATACATATAAGTTAAATAAAAAAAAAATAAATTAAATAAAACAAAAATGAGAAACAAAAAAAAAATAAAATTAAATTAAAAAAATAGAATAAAAATTATTAATTAAAAAAAATATAAAATACAATAAAATAGAATAAAAAAAAATTAAAAAAAAATTAAATTAAAATGTAAAGTAAAGTAAAATAATATAATATAAAATTAAAGAAAAAATTAAACAACGCAAAATAAAAAAATTAAATAGAATAAAGTCAAAAAAAAAAAAACAAATAAAGAAAGAAAAAGAAAATTAAAATAAAATTAAATAAAGTCAAATAGCAGAAATTAAAATTAAGTTAAATAAAAAAAAATGAATATAGATGAAATATTCTCTATTGGAGAGTTGACTGCAATATGAAAGCGGCCCTTAGCTCACAAACTTTCAGAGCCACTGTGTATAGTAATAAGCTTGCGACGCAGTTGAAAGCAAATGCGGCATTTAATTTGTTTAAAACTGGTTTTTAACTTTGCTATAGAACAGTTCGAAGCTCTGTGGGAAAATATACTCAATGGTGTGTGCCCGGAATAAGTAGCTTTATTATTGCGGTAAAAGCAGCTTACAAGCACGATTTGTTACCCTAAGCAGGAGGTTAATAATTCAGTAGAAAAACAGAAGGTTACATATTTACTTACACTCAACATTAAATTGCTTATTAAAATATTTTTATATTTCATTAACCTAAGATAAGCTCTTATAAATTACTCACCTGGCACAGTTTCCCCATTGAATGTTATCTGCACTGTGTGTATGCCCGGCTCGTGTGGCGTAAAACTAGCCACGAAACGTTGACCACCCAATGAACGCACCGATGACGTCACACGACCGCCATTCACCAAAATTTCCAAATTACCCGAGCCGGCCTTCGAGCCGTCAATTTCAAACTCAACGGGACGTCCAATGGCACCGTTTGGTATATCCTGAACACGTATAGCACGGGCACCAGTGGCGCTATTCTCTATCGGGCGAAATCGCGATAGTGAACTATAGCCATAATTACCATTGCCGGCGCCACCGCCACCACCAGAGGTACGCTCGGTAACGACATGTTCACTAGATTCCTTAACGGTTTTCGTGTAACCACCCGATTTGTCGGTGTAAGTGTTATTCGAGTGTGATTTAACGGTAATGGCACTGGGTCTGTAAATATTAATAAATGATTTAGAAAAATTAAAATATTCACGTTACGAGTTAATCTCAGCGCTCAACTCACTTATAACGATCCACATCGTCGACAGAGTCACGTGAACCACGTCGATCCGAATGATATTTCTGTTCTTGTAGAGCAAATTTATTATATTGCGTATTACGATGTGTTTCATGATCGATGTCGGGTCGATTGTAAGAGAGGTCCGTGTTCAATTGCTTTTCCGTCATATTTGCCAAAGATTCCAGCGAATTATGTGAAAGCATATGTTTAGTTTTATTTATAACATCCCAGCTGTCACGTCGTGCCGTTGTCGGCTTAATCGATGACACACGCACGTTCGACGAATGATCGATGCGCGGTTCGGGCGAAGCTGTGCGACGCAAACGTTCCGCGGTCGTGTAGAGTGATGGGCTGGCACGTATATTCGAGTCGGCTACATAATTAGAGGTCGATTTGTAAGTCGATGATTTCTCAACGGTGCGAGAAGTCTCGTAATCGGAGCGATTTAGACCATTCTGAAAACAAGTTTAAGGAGAAAGTTTATTTTTTCGCTTGGGCTTGGTAAAAAAAAACAACAAACAACCAGAAGTTAGTTGAGCGGAGAGCTTCAGACGTCTCAGTGACTTCGTCAACTAGAAAAGTACTTGAAATTATCTTGCTGCGTTACCTCTATTCAGGGAAAGATGCGGAGAGTTTTGCAGTCACTCAACCAATCTATGGTTCTCTGAGAAGATAGTGTCGGGTTAGTTTGTCTAATCGACCACTTAGGAAGTCTTACAGACACGATACTATGGTCGCATTATTACCAGATGCACTTACATTGTAACTTTGCGCTTATCTATTCCTGACTAAAGATCCTGCATTATATCTTCATTCAGTGATGTTATCTACCCCTCTTTGCGAAACGCCGGACACTCGCGCTTCTGGAAAGTTTACTCCTCTGTCTAGATGTCTGTTGTACGACTCCAAATGGGACTGTGTGTGAGTTATTGACAGCCGTAAAACGTTGAGTGCTCTATCCCGAACTTGAAACTTACTTTTGAACCTGAAGACTCGGCTGTTAAACCCGAAGACAGTCCAACACATTCAAGCTCTGCAACACCATCTACATTTTCTAAGAAAACATACATCTCAGCTAGATATTTAAGGGTTAGGAGTAGCTGAGAATAAGATATCTATACAAAAGTCAGCTTTATTTGAGAATGGAGGAAAGTCTCAGCTGAGGAGAAGATTGCGCAAGCAAAGCTTAGGTGCCTTTGCCGCCCGAGTGCAATTAAAATCAGTCTATGTCGGTGTAGCCATTCAAGGATCCAGGGGGGTCCAGAAACGTGCTCTAGGAGCACGTTTGGATCAGAACGAGAGAGGTATTAGAGCAGTTGGTTTTAGTAGGCATGCACAGAGGTGATTAAGGCGTGCGAGAACGCATTGCATGCTGCAAATGCGTTGGGCATATCTGGGTCACGTTCTCATAGGTTGAGAGTTGAGTCAACAGGTTGTAGAATCGAGATCCTGCTCAAAGCGGACTAAGGACTGGAGATGTAAGAATACTGACATAAGGAAAATATTTATATGCGCCGGGCGAGAGTAAGAGAGCAAGCAAGTGGTCTCAAGAAATGGAACTATATTGGAAGTAATTGGGAATTCCCTACCAAGGGGCAACCGTGAATAGAAAATTTGTCTTAATTTGTTTTTTTAATTAATTTTCTATAAATCTTAGGATATTAGTACCACCCCAGGATGGCGGTACGCGATGCTAATCACTCGGCTACAGCGGCCGTCGGAAATGGAAGTATACTTCAGCTTAAAGTTGAGGTTTCCAGAACGAAGTGCCGAAGAAATTTTAGATTGTCGTGAGTAGGGCTCACTCAATTTAAATCCAAACCTAACTTAAGATGGTAGAAGTAGCTTATATGGTTCTGAATATGTGCTACGAGTTAGCGAGTTTGCGGTTTCGGTCCAAAAAATATCAAACAATATTTCGAAAAAGAAGATGATTGACAGAAGCGTGTCCTTCAAGAAAGGAAACTCAAGCTAGTATCTAAGATGTTACTAAGTGCCGCTCTTGAGAATCTCTTCCGCACAGTTGAATAAAGAATTTTATTTTAGTTTTCTTTTGCTTCACTCACTTCACTCACCTTATTCAAAGTTGTGACTGGACTGCCGATGCGATGTGTGGCTGTCGAAATGTAGGCGTTGCTAGGCGAATGTCGTTGCACCGGCGAAATCGAGGTGTGACGTGGACTGGCGTTCAGTGTGCGCGTGCTCGTCTCATACGGTATGGAAGTTTTGATCGTCAATGGGCTGTGGGTGCGTACCTCACTCGAGCGTATCTGTGGCAAGTGCAGCAGAAATGTTAATGTAAAAGTTCACTCAAAAAAAAAAAAACGAACAAAAAACGCAAGGCAAATATTTAAAGTGCACAATTATAATAGCAACAAACAAGGTTAAACACATTAAACAAACAAAAGTGACACAAAAATATATATATATATATATATATATATATAAACAAAAATAAGAAAACAATAATTAATTACACTAGGTATCGGACTGAGACGTGTCGGAAACGCTGTCGTTGATCGGGCGTTTACTGTATGACTATGCTGCTGATAGTGCTGCTGCTGCTGCTGCCGCTGCTGAGCGTAGAGTGAGGACGTAGGCGTATCCTCATAGCGTTCCTCGCGTGGTGGCCCTAATTTCAACTCACGATCATCACGCTTACGAGAGTACAACTCGTTCTCTTTGTCGTAGTAGTAATCGTTTTTGTTCGTGGTGGACGACGACGAGGAGACCTTCGAGTCGCGGCGTGCCGAGTTCACGGTATACAAATCGGCTGAGTTGATATATTTAGTAACGGGAGAATTATTGTAGTATTCGCGTGAAGGGGGCTGGGGAGCTGCTGGTGGTGGTGGTGAGGAGGTTGCCAATTTATCCTATGCACACATTTTTTTTTTTTTTAATTTTGGTGTTTGGTTGTTGGCGTGTGGTGTGTGTGTGTGTGTGTGTGCAAGAGAGTTTGTTTGAAAGGAAACATAAAAATAAAATAAAAATATATGTAGGTGGGAAGGAGAGAAGATTTTGGTTATAGATTTTTTTTGTTTTGAGTTCAGAGAGTTGGGTGCGAGGCGGTGAGAAGCGGTGCATATTGGTTTGACTTTGTAAGGTTAGTCACAAGCTGTATGTTGTGGTTAGTAAATTAAATAAATAATTATTATGATATGGCTTTTTGAGCAGCCAGCTCTCGCCAGTTTTCGTGGTGTGACATTTCTTCACACTTGTCAAATGATGTTTTAGCACAGATGACCACAACCAAGCTTTTATCATCCAACTTATTTTCGCTCTCTGCTCTACACTTACCTCACTCTCGCGCTTGTAGTAGCTGGACGTGGTGCGATAGTCGGGCGTATCTATATTCGACGCTACTTGTGGCGAGTACGAACGCTGCCGTTCCGAGCTGTTGTGATTTAGTAAGTCACGACGTGAGAGGGATGCCGTCGCAGCCGACGTTGCATTTCTGTAGTCATTGTGTCGCGTATTTGTGGTAGAGGTGTAATGCATTGAAGGGCTCTCCGAACGATGTTTGCTCTCATGCAAGGGGCTACTACGAGTCTTACCCGAACGTCCTTTCGTGCCCACACGCATAATAAACGGTGAACCCTTGACATCGTACCCGTTGAAGTAGACATATACGCGATATTTGCCATTTTGGCGTGGCATGAAGGTGACGCGATATTTATTTTCAACGATTTTCTCCACAGAACACACCAGCGAACGTTTGTCGTGCACAATATCGACATGTAGCTCACCAGTGACACCCACACCGCGTGCGTCCACCTCGAAGGAGTGTGCACGTAGTGGCATAGCGCCGTCTAAGCCATGCACCGATACACCGCTGGCATCGAAGACAGCACACGTGAAGGGTCCGCCCTGTATGTGACGACCCTGATAGGTGATGGCGATTTCCCAAATACCCGCTTCGTCTGGTTTAAATATGGCACTGTGTCCCTCCTCGACCTTCTTCAGTGGACAGTTGTGTGATATGCCTGTCGGTGAGACGGCGGTCACGAGTATGTCTTCGGTCTTGGGCGCACCGGTGGCATTTACCAGTACCTCGACGAGGCTGCCCAGTGCACAGGGTGCCATGCCAGGTGGCGCTACTTGTATGAAACGCGGTAGCACACGGAAGAAATGTCCACCCAGGCTGTCTTCGCCAATCTCTACAACTATCTCGTGCATACCATACTTTTCGGGTATAAAGACACCCTCGCCATGCGCATTTAGACGTACCAGTTGAGGCTGACCTGATGGTGGCACTACGTATGCTTTCACCGTACTGAGACTGATATCGCGCGAGAGCACGTCGATGCGGAAGTGTGTCTGTAAGCAAAAAGAAAAATTATTATTTTTTGGACTTCTACTTGTTTTGTTTGATCCACACTCACCGGCTCGCCGACCCGTCCGGAATTGCTCTCCATTAGCACATTGATCAAATCGGATAGTGGCGGTCGCGGTGGCACCCACTGCAAATGTGCAGCGTAGGCCATTATGCCCAAATGTTCGACTTCCGGGTTTGCCATATCTTTCGCCGTGAGTATGGGTTGCACTCCCAACCGCTGCCCGGCCTCGACGGCCTTACGTATATTATTTTCGTAGTGAAATGGATCTGTGCTGAGCTTCTCAGGTGCGGGCGCCGGTCCCCCGAGCCCTTTAATGATCTCACACATAACACGTCCATCATTCCAATCGGTCTGTAAAAGAGGCGAAGGAATTTAGTTTGAGTCTGTCTTTTCAAATTACCCCAAGACTCACCGTAAAATTCTTAACTGAATCCTTCACTTGCGTATTAACCCAACGCATTGTCGCATTATAACCGGGTCCACCTGGCTTCATAAAGTATGATAGGTACGTCATGCCAGAGAGTTCATCCAACCATGGTGAGGCCAAATACGCCGGTTCCAGCACACGCGGCACACCAAACTCACTCTGTGCCAAATTCATGGCATTCGTACAATTTTGTACGCTCTGCTTGGGATCCAGCGAACGCCAATGGGGAAATAGTCCCGGCTGACAATAGTCCAACAAAGCGGCCAAATTCACGCCACTATTCCAATCTGTGGTCAAATTGGTGATTTTGCACTCGGGCAGTGCCGCTTGCAACCAGGCGAGCATAAGTTTCCGCGGCGGGAATTTACTACGTCCAATCTGGTAGCGCACAATCAGCGACCAGAGGAGTCCTAAAATGAGCTTGACATTGCCGTTGACAATATCCACATTGCCAATATTCACCAGCTTGATGTGATCTTTCTCTATGGCGTTCAATGCTGTCGTAGCATTCTCTAGGTAATGATGTTGATTGGCAGGACGGCGATTCCATGATGGCTTGAGGGGGCGCGTTTGTAGAGTCTCCACCAGTGCACACAGGCAAGTGCCGTCACAAAAGTCTGTAGCCCAATCGAGCACCTGGAAATAGGAAGAGAATGGGATTAGTGTTGGTGTTAATGCAGAGCTTTTCAAGGGGGAAAGAGATAAGGCCTACGGTGATAGCGAATGAAGTTGTGAAACAGTGGCCATACGTTCGAAGTTCTAGAATGTTGAGCAAATGTCGCAGCAAGATCAAAGTTCTTAAGCTTTCTACAGCGCGGTACCTCAATCATTAAAAAATGAAATAAAATCAGTTTTTTTTTTCAGCGAAGTTATGGAATAAAGGATGCCAGAGTTGCGGCTAAGAATGACCTAATACTTAAAAAAAAAAGAGTGAGCGAGGCTCTTTATATTCAAACAATTGAGAGAACATTTCAGAAAAGTCAGCGAGTATATCGAAAAACTTCAGATGGAGTGCTGAAAAAGTGAAGCAGGGAGAAAAAAAAACTATTCGGTTTAGATGAAACCTATCATTATCAGATTGAGTCTCGGATCCTCTTTGGATCAATACGAACACTGAGTGTTTCTTCGTACGTATGGTTCACCGGTTAGGATGGTGAACAAAACTATTGCTCATCACTATTCTCACACTCAGCTTTATTCACACCCACTCCCCTCTCTTCGTGTTAAATTGCGGGTTTTCATTTGAAATGGTGACCAGATCCAAAGCCTCATAAGAAGAAAAATTGTAATGTTGCTTGGCTGATCGAATGCTTGAAGAGGGAGATCGGGAGACCGAGAGCGAGATATAGATAGAGAGCGACCATCTGCCAGTGATTTTGTGCACATCGAATATCAGATCCATAAACTTTGGAATTTATAAATCTTTCTTGTGATTCCTTAGAGGAATTCAATAGAATTCGGAGATCTGGAGAGAACCAGAAGTTGAACAGTAAATATTCACATGCTTCTCTTGAGGCCTTTGTGCGAAGTCCGCACTATAAGGTGCATAAATTAGAACCTCCCAGTCAGGCTCTTAAAGCTTCTGGCGAGACACTATCGATAGGTGAGATCTGGTGTTATCTTGATTGTCCACAATTCCACTCCTGTTGGCCACAGCCGGGTGCCTCTGGGATATAGCTTCTTTCAGATGAATCTTATTGCTAGTACTACTAGTCCGATTTGAGAGTGGAGAGTAGCTCATAGTGGATGATTTATTGTCAATCCCAGCAAACAGGCAACAAAGCGTCGATACTGGATTGAAGACCATGTGTGCCGGCTTACCGTCCTTCAAGCAGGACCCATTTTCGGTTAATATGGCTGTAATTGGTCCACTTTTTAGATATGAATCGATTCTTTGATGAAAAGTCGGTCCAGGTTTTTTCTTCTTACCTCTCGTGGCACCCATGCATCGAGATTTACCTTGTATCTACCCTTTTTCAGGTAGTTAAAACTATTTTTTGTGCCATTTTTAGCTCCTGAACAATCCAAACAGTACTCGCATGTGAGTCAGACTCAGTGGTTTGCTTTATTTGATCGACATGACTGATTCGGTATCAGAACCATAAAAACTAATCACATTTTCAGTTGGTTGATTGGCGTTTCTCCTTTAAAAAATTAGCGTATTTTCTTGTTGTTGGTGGTCTATTTTGACATTTGACCAAACACTATTAGGTTAAGTGATTAACACTTCAACTCTCCTTTCTCCTTTCTCTTCTCTTTTTTAGCATCAAATATTATCTTTCTAACACCATCTGGCGTAATTCAGTCGCACCTTTAGAAGACCGCTAAAGCCATCTATTGCAAACATTATGGATTAATTTTTACTAGATTAATATTTTTATATTTATTTTACATATTTTTTCTCTCTTGAAAGGATATTTGAAGATTTTTCGCTTGGGTTTGAAAACCACAAATTTCCACGCATTTTAATTTTAAATGGGGAGGGTAAGAGCTCTTCAAATTCATTACGAAATCAAAACGTGAATGCTTTTTAAAGTATAAAGTAAATATTTATTTGCTTATTTGAATGGTGGTTTCATACATACGAGTACATACATATATACATACATACAATAGGCTTATTTGTGAATATATCTAATTATAAGAAAATAGTTTATGGCCTTTCGCCCTTGTGCCCTTTGAGTGTGTTAATTAGTTTGTGTCAAATACTTTGACATTTTGAGGTTTGACAATTTACTCGCCACTTTGTTATGCAAATTGTTGATGAGTAAAAATAAATAAATATACACACATAATATAATATTAATATAACAAAAATTTGTAGTTTCTTCTTTTATTTTTGATTGCAAAATATAAATATAATTTATGGTGTTTACTCTCCCTCATTAGTTCATGTTTAGCTCATTTATTTATTTAGAGATATGCAATGAGAGTGCTCTCAGAGATTTGTTGAGGTTGAAAGGAAATTTCGAGGTTAGGCAAAGTGACGCTACGTTTAATGCAAATTGAGTTTTTGTGGTGGGAACTGAGGGAGAAGGGGGTGTTGGGAGTTTGAAAATAAATGAAAATAAATGATTTGTAGTTAAGAAAATATTTTTTTTTAATTTCAACATCATTAGAAAATTAGCCAGACTTTATACTTATTAAACATAAAGGTCAGTTTAGAGGCAGGAAATTCAAATTTTGTGCCGGAAATTTATTAAAAAAAACTTTTTGAGAAAATTATATTTTCGTCTTACCCAAAACCAGCATCAATCACAATAATAATGTCGGAATTAGTACACCACAGCACCTACTTTCCGCTTAGTAGGCAGATGGGTGAGGGAGAGGGAGAGGGAGAGGGAGAGAGAGAGGGAGAGGGAGAGAGAGAGAGNGAGATAAGGATAGAGATAGAAATAGAGATAGAGAATGAGATTGAGAAAGGAAAGGAGAAAGAGAAATACAAAGAAAAAGAGACTCAGAAAGAGAAACAGAAATGGAAAGAGAAAGGGGAAGAGAATGAGAAAGAGAATCAGAAGGAGAAAGATAAAAGGAAAGGAAGAATAAAAACTTTCAAAGACTTTTTGTTTTATGCAGCAGATATTCTGTGGCAATGCCACTGAGGTCCATTCCAGACAATTGGAAAACCGAATTTTGAAGTTGGCTTTGAATAAACATATATATATTCCAAAACCAACAAGCACTCACTTTATTTAGACACACTTTACATAGACAATATGGGGCCTTGAATGCCGGTCTAATTAGCGCTGAAATCTCGTTGTTTGTGTGGCTTTGCGCTTTGGACTTTGTTGCATGGATGTTCGTGAGTTTATATATGTACATATGTATATACGCAAATTAACATTGATATATTGATGTAAACATACATACATATATATGCTATTGAACGTGTCGTCATTACTATCTGGAGTAAATATATTTGCTTACTATAAGCGTTTTGGCCTGAGAGAGTCAACAAATATGCGGCATGCTGGTTGTAACAACAAAAGCCAAAGCTATCAAACAGAGTCTCAACAACGAAAGTGACAAAAGTAAAAGCTAAATTTGTAAAAATCTAAAAAAAAGAGAAAAAAATTTACAACAACTTCACTTCTAATGACAGATAAATAAAAAACTTTTGAGTGGGAAAGCAATGAATGCCGGCGAATAATGCATAATACAGTCTGTGTCAATAAATATCGAAGCAAAAAATGCGCAATTGATGCACTGAAAATAGCTAAAAGCAATTGAAAGTGTAGAAAAATGCGAAAAACTTACTACGATTAGTTTATCGCCTAAACCAACTTAATCACAAGTGCAACAAAATCGACTAGTTGCAAAATAGACTAGTTGTAAATAAGCCTAGTTGAAAAAGAGACTGAGAAGTTTATTGGACAAAAAAACTATCATTTCCTCACTAGCTTAGTAACTAGTACTAAATGTTACCTTATATACTCCTTAGAATTTATTTAAATTAAGACACTTACATATGCCATAAAAGTGTATAAATTGAGTTATCCAAAAACAACTAGTTAGAAAACTACTTCTAAATTATCATAGTCAAACTCAGATGAGTCGGATAAAAAAATTTAATTTTTTTTAAATTGAAACTGAGAAAATGCTGAATTTTTTTTGCATATGTAACTAGTTACCAATAAACTAGATATTATATGGTTACAAAGTAACTAGTTGTCAAATTCGTTAATTGTTTATGTACTTGCATGTAGTACAAATTACAATTATTTTTTGGTTTCATATATCCCTGAAACTAGTTTAGCAACTAGTTACAAATGGTATATAGAATTTCAAAATAATTTTTAAACAACTACTTAGCAGAGTTAATACCAAGGATGTTTTACTTAAGTATGTACGGGTATACATATATATGCTTGCATGTACATATGTCCATTTCTATAATGCATAACACACTCAAATATATTCGCACGCATTCTACGCTAATCCACCACACTGACCCAGTTTAGCTTTTATCAAATAACAATCAGCAAAACACACACATGCATACATGCCTGATGCCACTTGTTAATATGTTTGTGCATGTAATTTCGCATGCCATTACAATTAGAGGCCTCAATAGCATAAGTACTCACACACATAGCCAAAGTCAAAATGTGACCGACCCAATCATGTTAACCCGAACTCCGTCTGGCCCATCTACCCTCCTTTGGCGTGCACTGTACGAGTACTGTCATATGAATTACAAATTACAAATAACGAATTTCACATTTCACAGTGAATTGCCGTGCCGTTGAGTTGTGAACAACACGAACAACACGAACAACGTGAACAACGCATTTGTGTCTGTCGGAGGCTTCGATTGCGCCAGTTGCCCTAGTCAAAAGGCATTTACACGAGTCAACCGCCAAACTCAAATCCAAAACCCCGTCAACAACCATTCTGACCTATTCGAGTGCATGGCGGTGTTACAAAATCACATTTAAACACATACACACACACACACACACATACACATATTTGCACACTAATACACTCTTGTGCTTTCCCCTCACACTCACAAAATTCATAGAAAGATTTATGCGCATAACTAAATTGAAGCAGCGAACGATGTTCAAACCGGACAAGCGGATGCTGCTTGTGGCGCTGGGTGTGGCGTCTATTTACCTTTGCCCTTAACAGGC